AAAAAAAGAAATACACTGCGCAGTAAAAATTAAACAGACAACAACCCTGGGACAGGTATGTGCGATTTATAGGCAAACAATAATCTGCAGGTGTGTGTACATTATAAGTTATAACTTATAACACATATTGGTACATTTAAGCGCGTATGATGTTATACGCGTACCTACCTATAATAATATATAAGTCGCAAGTAGGTAACTATTATTACAATCGATGATCCTAAACCTGTATTCTATAAAACGTCGATGTTTAGAAGAAAAAAACTAATAATAATAATAATAATAATAATAAATCGCGATTTAATACGATTTCTTTGTAGATGTACACGCCGCCCGACGCCCGACACAATGAATACGGCGTACAGCAATATTATATATTATATTTTATATATATATTTTCTGGATGCGATTCCTTCATAATTATTGTTTCTCGAGTGTTACGGTCACCGACAAAATGCCATTTGCCGACAAATACGTTGTAATACAGTATATATATATATATAGACAACATGTGCGGTGTCCTTTATACAGTGTATATATATATATATGGGTTTTCAGTTAATTAAGGTACCGTCCAGATAATTCGTCGGTAGCAAGGTTATATATTATTGCTTTTTTTCCATTGGTGCGATACTATTATGATGCCGACAATACAAAAAAAAAATGAATTCCTATACAAAATCAATTTTAGACGCATTGCCATTTTAAATGAGAACTATTTTCTCATTAAAAAATAAATATAATATATATTTATACATTATACAAGCAATCAAAAAAATACTTGTTGACGATATTCATATTTTTCATAATATTAATCGGGTCCTAGTTTTTATAAATATAGGCCCTTGTAAGATGAAACGCAATCTTATTGGGTACCTATATTACCTTCTTTTATTATTTTTTCATCACTTTTACTAGTATTTTATTACCTAATATATGCATATATAATATATGTGTAGGTATATTGTACAATGTACGGTAAGAGTGAATGCGAAGGAAATGACCGATTTTGTCACACGCTGTTTTATATTGTTCTCGTTGCACGTTAATGTCATCATTATTACTTATTATCCGAGTGAAACGAATCCGAGGGGCCAAAGCCACTTTAAGCCGCCCTTATAAGGAAGCATATTACGTACCGTGGTCTAAGGTAAAAAAAAAAATAATAATAATAAAAATACTACTTATTAGTTATTACTACATATATATATATATATATATATATACATAAAGACACGGAATGCGGATTTTGTGTATACCAACATACTATTTTATCATATAATTCTTCGTCCTGGTCCCTCGATTTCGTGGTCTAGTTAGTAGTAATTCGAAGGGTCTTTGGATGATTAAGTCTTATACATAATTTATTATAACACATGCCGTAATGCCGTAAATTATAATACCGTCAACAAAAACAAACACCACGCCGAGGACAATCACGGAGGCGAACAAAAACCCACAATTCGATTTGAATTCGCAAGATAATCTGCCAACGATTTGAAAACGAAAAGACCCCATTGTATTTGCTGTACGCTGACTTTGGTTGGGTGGTCGTGGCTTCCGGAAGTCCTATGATCGATCCAGCTCTAATACTTCACCCCTTCAATGGTCCTAAAAAAAACGTCTTTGCGTTAAATGTATATACATATTATATATTTTAAGACAAAGGGATAAACACCGTTCGCTAAAATCCGGTACGAATGTACGATTGGCGAATAATATGATGAATTTATTTTTCACACTCATTACTTTCATCATTTGTTCTGATGCACATTCCAATAATATATCATTTCAATTATTGTTCGAATACACAAACCGACATTACAACAATTATTATGAAAAAAAAAAATTATAAATTGTCGTACAAAATCAAGACAACTAATAATAATAATTACCATAATTATTATCTTTTGTTTTTAATTATTGTTATTAAGGTTTATAGTTTATCATATACATAATTATCTTGTCTAATATGTTTAATAGCGAACGCCACATAATTAATATCAATAGGTCTCCAAAGTAACGAATTTCGTCGAATTAGACTCGATTAATATAAATCAACTATTGTCTTGATAGTCACAAGACTTACAGGTACGATTAGCTAATGGATGACTCACAATACATTTTTATGTTATTACCTACATCTCATTATATGAATATTGTGTGTTTAATCGGTTACAAAATAGCTCATGGCCAACTCGTTAGTTCAAATTATTAAATTATACACGAGTAAATAATATTAAATTATAAATTATTGTAATGTTTCAAATTAATTTGTGTGGACATTGAATAGATATTTGTATATTTTTTTTTGCTAAATATTTTGTTAGGCCACGCACACTGATGTCGTGTTCCGACATTTGATGATTTCTATACATTTGAATAATTGAATGGGTCAATGTACATTAAATATTTGTTGACTTATTAGTTGGCCAATTGAGCTTCAATAAAAATCAAAACAATCAAAACTATCAATGTAGGAACATAATTTGATAAATTGTTAAGACATTTGTATATTATATTGTGTGCGCAAGGAAAAGAAACAAATCTATTTCTACAATTAAACGATAACAACTAAAATACGTCAACCGAATCGGAATTTCCGGGAAATCCCATTTGACAACTTTTAAATGAATGCAACTATAACGGAGACGCTAATGTAGATAATCGATAGACTATCCTATAAGCGTCTTTAAGCATTATCATATACATATATGTATAAATGATTAGATTTATAAAGCAATATCGTCTTAAAGAACTTCCTTCGCTGTTTCCCAACAACTCACCTGTCAAATCAACTTGTCAATAGGGGTTAAACGAAATTCCGCTGCGAACTTCATCGAACCATGGTAAAAAATAATCTGAATCTGAACTTAACTAAACTTAAAAATAATCCGATCAGATGTTTCTGATCGAAAATTAAAATCCCATCAAATCGCTACAAGTATATTTACCAGGTGGGTATGTATGTATATATAATATATATATACTTGACTTAACCTAATCCCATTTGTACATACTTTATGGGAATTTTTTTGCTGGAACGTTGCCGGCGATCGGTGGTTATGGGCGGGGAATCGATTGATTGCGGCCTTACGGAATTTGCGTCGGACGGAAGTTTGGTTGGTAATTTTTTCTTTTTAGCGGCGCGGCTTGCAGGCGGCACAGATGGCGGACAAATGCGATTATAAAGCAATGCGCGTGCCGTAAGCCTTTATCGTACTTGTCGTCAGCGGGAAATCTAACATCGACGGCCTAGAAAACATAATAATATGATATTATGATCTATCACGGTATACAATAATATACGATCGTAATAATTATTTAAATATTTATCTGTATTTACAAGTTTTCAGCAGCACACGTTTACATTTCACACGCGCATTTTTGAACAATAATATATTATATAATAATATAATACCAATGCGAGGCGAGACCGAGTGTTTCATACGACATTTTCACACCGATTTCACCCGCAGCCGACACGAATAAACGCAAAAGACAAAAAAAAAAAATATTCAAGGGCGACGAGCTGGCCGACCGCCTATCGTAAGTAGAGTACCTATCGATACTGCAGGAATATAATTCTGCAAACGCATTATACGGAACGGGCTGGGCATATTGTTGTATTATGTCACGACGTTCGGCTTATATTATCGTATACATCGTATGCACGTGCGTAATAAATTGTTATTCGCTGCGATATTCCAGATAATGGGAACAATAATAACGCAATAATATCGACTACCATCAGCCAGCATTCGGCCGCCATATATAATAATATATTATTATGATCTTCAGTGGCGTAACTATGTGTATAATAGGAAGCGGGAGGAGACAAAGGGGAGTACAGCGGCACCCAAGTTTCAAACACTTATATTATTGGGCACCCGCTATTGATATAATATAATATGTTCTGGCTGCAGTTATTGATTTTTTTTTGTCTCGTATGCCGATCAAAAATGAGTTTAATTTTAACAAAAAAATGTTTTCTTAGTCGTGATTACCGAGTTTTTTCTATCATAATATACTCAAATTATCTCGCCTACATTTTCCAAAATTCAAAATATGTCAGCATAACACTATAATATATTTTATAAGTATATACGAGTTAAAGAGAAAACGAATTTGTTCACTCCGATTCCTTCCGCTGTGCATTCACCCAATGCGGTAAATTATCCCGCCTACTGTTTCCAAAATTCAAAAATGTCAGTAAACGCTATAATATTTTAGTATACGAATTAAATGGAAAACGAATTGTTCACTCCGATTCTCCTTTCATTGTGCATTCACCCAGTGCTCGAGTCTAAAATTGTCGCCCCCGGGCCGAAACGCCGAAGTTACAATCATATTATAATATGTGTGTATAGAATAATATGATAATGATAAGAGCTGCAAGTCGCGCGCAGAGCTCTATACACGCGGGCGGCAGAGTGTCGTGGTGTGGCGGTGGCTCTCTCGAGGGGTTCGCGAGTTTTGATGGCTTAGCCGCTTTAAGGTCCTTCCCTTCGCAGTCCTCCCCCCCCATCAACCACACACACACACACACACACACACACACACACCGATCGCGCGGGGTCCGGATGCTGCGCCGCCGGAGAGTCGTAATAATGTATTATATCACTGACGACGAGGGCCGACCAGGGCCGACGACAACACGCTCCCGTCGTGGCAACACTGCCGGCCGACGGACTTGCGAAGCCCCCCCGCAGAACGCGCGTTTTTTTCCGTACAGCTTCGACGGCATACTGGTAAGTGGTAACGACGACGGCGACGACGAGCCCAGGAGAAAGGCGGCGGCGGCGGCGGCCGTCGTCTTCAACCGCCGTCGTTACCGCCGCCGCCACCGTCGCGCGTCGTCGTCGTCGTCGTCGTCGTCGTCGTCGTCGTTGCGAGGCAGCTGCTGCCGCTGCACCGCCCGCCCGTCCGTCCATCTGCCCGCCGCCGCCGCCGCCGCGATTGTATGCGCGCCGTTGTTGTCGGTAGCCGCCGCCGCCGTCGTCGTACTCTCTCGCGAGCGCCTCGCGCATTACCGCTACGGTACGCTCGACGATCAGTTTAGTCAGCTCGGCCGCACAAGCCTGTCGTCGTCTTCGTCTTTGCAGTCGCACTCATCGTCGTCGTCGTAGTCGTCGTCGACCGGTGTTTTGAATTTCGCCTCTGCTCTCGAAAAAACATCGATCCCATAGTAATATTTATACATTTTTTTTTTTTTTTTTGTCTCAATCGCAACAGACTGGTACGTGCCATTCACCCCACATGCGTTTTCCGTCGTATTTTCTCGTATTATTCACGCGGTATAATATACTAGAATAACCGCCCTCCGGCACCGTTATCATATAATATCCGTCGCGGGCAAGCTGCGAAGACATATCGAGGATCGCGCAGCCAGAGATATTGGCCTCTTGGTGGGCATATTCCGTGTGACTACGGTAAGGACGACTATACCTTTATTGCTATAACTATCATTATAAGAAAGCTGTAATTTTTTAGATATCCATCGCGAAAAATGTATTGTAGAGGAGAATAACTTACCTAATAGTACATGTTTATATCTAGGTATTAAATAGTATAATTCTATGAGTCGATACAATTTTATAATTCAATATCATTAATAATATAATTCAGAAAATATTAAAGCCAATAAAATATTATTTATACGCTTTCTGGGCATATTTTTTATCAAAAATATTAAAAATGAAAATGGTTTTGAAGAACGTCTTGACTAAATGCTGAGAACATTTTATTCGAAAAATTAGACTTTTCATAATACTTCGAAAATAATTGCACTAAGCTTAGTCTCCAACAGACCATCCGCATATATTATCATGGTTTTATTTGAAATAAATGTTTTCTGTAATCAAACGTAACTACGTTAGCTTTTCAAGGAATTTTCAAAATACTGAAAAAATAAAAAAATACTTCAATGACTAACTGGCTTTAGTTTTTGTGACTTTTGAATCAATGTTATGTCCCGGAAAAATATCTAAGTATCTAATATATTGTGTAAAAAAAATGATAAAGCTGTTTTAACTTGTATTCACACTAAACAGTAAACAGTCTTATGGGAATATGAGCTGATAAGTCATTTTTAGGTAACTGATTAATTGCTAATACAATTTAACATCAAAAATACAATGCACATTATAAAGAGACCTTGTTTTGAAAATTGAGTTACTTTTTAAATGTCTTTATGCAAAATATTTTTAAAAATAAAAATTGTTTTTACATATTTTAGTAGATTGATTTTAATAACAAAGTCAAAGTGATTAAAATTTAAGACCTCATAAAAAATATTTTTTTCACATAAAACATTGATAATAGAGTAGAACTTTTCATTGAATTTGTATGGAATATGAGTATTGATGTTTGTTGCATAATATACACAAAACAGCTCTATAGAAAAATGCTCGGAAAAATGTAAACATTATTTTAATTCACCAATATTTTATTATACAATGTGTTTAAAGACGAAGTCATATAAAGTTTTATCTGTTCAAATTAAAAAAAAAATTCTCAATTTTCGTCAAATTAAATTAATTTTTATAAAATATTCCAAAAAACCAAGCAATTCATAATTTTCTGGTAAAAAAATGTCAGCATTTGTTACGAAATTAAATAACACACAAGCTCAATATAAATAAGTTATTCTACGTATTTAAAGTTGAAGAAACTTTTATTTCTAATTCTATTATTGCAAGGCTTAACACTATGGATATATATTAATGAATTAGTCCATTTAAAACAGTTTTCAGTTAACAAATACTTGATTAATAATTTACAAAATGTGCTACGAACTTCATCGGCTTTCATCAAAACTCGTTTTACTAATACTTTTAACAATAAATATCTGAACATTTTGCACGATTAATTAAACGTTCCGTATTTTCCACGTTGGTCATATATTTTGTAATCAATTAAAATTCGATTGTTTTCAGTTCAATGTCATGTCTAGTAGGAGTATCTTTTTTTTGCATTGTTCTCGTACATATTGTATTTCCTCCAGATTGCCACGATTTATTGCGTCAACGGTATTTTGTATATTATTTATTTTATATCACCAACTAGTGCAAAATGTATTTATTTAATTTCATGAGCATAAAAAATAAATTTGTTTATTATATAGGAACCCAGTATAAAACCAACTCATACATTTTGTTTAGCTAAACCGATTTCAGTATTTTACTGAACTATCTGTGAGAACGTAGGTACAGAAAATTGGGTATCTCTATGTCCCGGGGGTGCGTAAAATGCATATAAACTACGAATATAGTGGTTTACCTACCCGTACATATTTCTTACTTATTTATTATTATTATTTTTATTTATTGAAAACGTTCTGAAAGAGTTTTGCAAAACCGATTCCTTTCGAACAATCGCTTCCTTTTCCAGCCATAATCTACAACAGTAATATTATTATTTTTAATCCATACAATTCATTGTTTTATATAACAACCAGAAGATGATACTTTGTGATTATAGGATCGATATATTATAGTTTTGTGGTTATCCCAGATTGACTACATAGTAATATCTCGTGGATAATATATAATACATGACCTGTACAAATCGTAGGCACAAGATATTTTTCGATCTATTCACAGTTATTAAGTATTATTGCCCCACGTTCGGTCCAGTGTTTGAAATTATGAGATGATATGGTAGTTGAGAGGCAAGTTCACTTTGGTTCTCGTCACGTCCGATATCTTGGAAATCCGGTTATAATACAAGCGATTGACCACAAATTGTAACTACAAAAATTATGCATACCTATCCAATTAAAAATTAAATTAAAAACATATACGCACTAACCAAAAAAAAGAAAAAAATCGATAGCTAGTGTTATTATTATTATTATTATTATTTTTTTGTTATTATTATTATTATTATTATTATTATTATTATTATTATTGTTATTATTATTATTATTATTATTATAATTATCATTATTATTATTATTGTTCTAATTCTAAATGGATTGTATTCGAAGACAAGTAGATGCTGATATCAATATGTTGAGAAAAATTCCCTATAGTACCGACTATGGCATGGTGTATTCCCTGGGACTGTATACGTATATAAAGCTAAAACGGTATTAACAAACAAAACAAAAAGCACGTATACAGCTATCAGCTGGGAATACACTAGAGGCAGAGTCATTAGGTTAGATACCTATATATATTTTGTACAACGGTTGTAACATATTAGGTTTTGTTGTACGTATATGCTACAGTGGACTTTAGAATATAGCTTATAAAATAGTGACCCAGATCCCACGAGGAACCTCCAGCACTATTACTATATTTAAAGGATTCGTCAGACTTTAAATACCTTTTTGTGAAATGTACTTTGTTGGGAAATGTGTATGAACCATTTTTGAGGAAAACCAATATTGTGTCGATATGTACACCACAGCCATCTCATGGGCATTCTTTTGTAATATGTGTTCATAAACTACCTATATACCTATACATAGCATTACTGATGATATTGTTGTGCTATTAGTATGATAGCATCGAGAATTGGTGAACCAATGAAGTACCCAAATAGGTATCTAATTTCCATTAAAATTGTTACGACTTTCGTTTATAAATGTTAACCACTCCATCGGGTATACGCTAGTACTTAGCCTTTTTCATGCAATTTTAGCCATACGGCAATACATATAATTATTTATTATTATTATTATTGTTCTTATTACTACTATTATTATACTATACATATTTACAATATTTGAGTTTTAAAATTAAATCGTTGTTAGTTAATCTACCAACCAGTTCGATTTTTGTAAATAAATTACATTATTTTTTGTTTGAAAAATTGTTTCTGTGCCAAAGACCGGCGAGCGACGTTGTAAAATATTACAACAGAGTAAACGTATTATCTTTCATTAGGGTGCAATGCAATTATTCAATTTGTATATAAAGCAACAGCAAGTTCAATATTAAACATAATCTGAGAAATTAATTACATCGATATTCGGTTTATGGTCATAGCCAGTACATAATCCATTAATACTGTCATTCCCAACATCACAAACTCGTAATTTAATAACATTTTGGTTATCGAGCCATTTCCATCTGACAGATACAATTACCGTACACATAAGCGCGTATCCTATTATTCAGTAATTCAATGTTATAACATAATAAATCAAATTGTTTCAAGTAACATACATCAGTATCGTCAATCGTAGGTTAAGTTGTTGAATGTTATTAATATTTGCATACAATATGTATATAGCTTTAAAAAAAAATCACTTTTACGATTTATTATTATATTTTATTTAATAATCGTATATTACTTTTAAAGTTATGGTATTTTTTGTTTCTTTTAAAAAAATTGACTTGAAATGTATACTTCGACTCTTCTAGATTGCCAGGAAGTGTGTAGTTTTTACTAAACCTACCTACTAGGTACAGTATATTTACATGCTTACTAAATTGCTCGTCATTTAAACTTGTTTAAATCAAAACATTGAATTTTGCTTTCCATGCATTCAAAATTAAATATTCTTGATGTATAAAAACAATACTTCCTATACTTGAAAATACATGTTTGGCTCTGTATTTGACGGACGATATATGGGCATAATTTTAATGTCGGTGCGCTTGGAGTTTAAATTAGTATACCAAATGTATATTACGTTACAACCTGAGTATTTTTATATTGTATATTTATATTTTTAGTAATATTTTTATATTTTTATATTATAATATTTTATTATTAGTCTATAACATATAATAATTTTATATATTTTCTTAAATATAATAATCATTACAGTAAGTACTAATGAAAGTTTTTTTTTTTTATTGAACAAAACGCTTCAACGGCAATAGTTATTAACGTACAGTTATTTAATTACATACCTATAATGAAAGCCTTGTAAATTATAAAACGGCTGTGTATTCGATAATAAAATAAAAAGTTTATACTTGAAAGTCAAGATTATAAGTTTTGATTAAAGTCATGATTCAACTTACTTGTATATGCTAATATTTGTAAATAAAAACGTGATATTTACAAAATATGGTACAAGACTTGGTATCCCTCCGTGTTTTTAAGGGTAGACTACTTTATATTATCCTTATTGATTTTTTTTTCACTATTTCATTCTTTATTTTGAAAAATGGTCGTTGCAAGTGGCGTCGTAGCCTTTGGGTGACGTTTTGCGCGATGGTATTAATGGAGCTTGGCTGATCGGATAGCAAAGAGCATATACAACTCACCCGCGACATAATATCCAATAGAGTCGTGTGTTCAGTGTCCGAAATAGGGGTTTGACGAAAATCTTATACTGCTGCGGAACGTATCAACTATCCACGTATAGTATCCAATGGCAACGTGAAATATAAATTATGTCTATTGCATGTAGTGAAACGCGGGTGTTCTAGAAAATTTCAGAGGACATCCAAAATCTACCATTCACCCC